GCTGACTCTTTGGGAACCAATCTCCAGTACAGTCAAGCTCTTTCTGATTTGCCAGCAGTTCAGGCTGCCTCCCAGGATTATCTTATCTCTAGGCTCTCTCAGCTTAATGACAGAGCCTAACCTGGGTGGGACGCCTGACACCCATCTTTCAACCCACCTCAGGAAGGGGCTCTTCATGGTCCTGAGGGAAATGAAATCTTTAAAAATGTTAATCTTTTTTAAAAGAAATAAAGAAATAAAGCTCAGTGCTTCTATTGTTTGGAAAGATCCTTCTGTGCTATATTTTCAACCCGTGTTCCTCCGCCCCTGGGAATGCCAGGCAAGTAGCCAGGCCCCACCGCCTTGTCATGGCCCCTGTCCCCTAAGGGCCGTGTGGACCAATTATGTCTTCACGTCACTCTGCTACCTCAGAAAATTGGAATAAAACTAGCAAGGCCAGTGGCCTGATCTCCACTGTACAGCCCGCCCAGCCTCTAGATTTATGAGAAAGGGACATATTTACCAGGCATCCCCATGCACCTGCCACAGTTTTATTTAAAGTCACAAAATTAGTGGGCAATGGAGCTAGAACTTGAACCCAGGCCTAATACCAAAGCTTCATGTGTTACTAGAGTGGCAGTGGTGGCAACCCCTAAAGCCCTGCAGCCTGACTTCTTGCTTGAGCATATGCCTTAGGCCACACTGCTACCTGCTTTCTCCTTTGAAAGGGGAGCAGAGGGCTGTGCTTACTCCTTACTGGGCATCAGAGTTCTCCATCTCTGCTTAAAACTGCAAAGGGCCAGCCCTAAAATGCCAAACACAGGTTGCTGACTGGCCTTAGAGCCTTCTGAAGAATTTTCAAGCCCTGGGCCTCTCATATCCATGCATTCTGAATCCCAGTCTCCCCTACCACCACCCTGCCCCCAGTAAAAGCTTCCAGAGCACCTCCCAGAACTCAGCACATGAAAGCCCAGACTCCTCTAAAATCCACCAGAGCCAAGCAAAGGAAACTAAAGGACGATGTGCTGGGAATGAAGCCTGCAGGAGGACTAGCTGCCCTCAGCCCTCTCTGGCCTTCTGCCAGCAGGCAGCCCTAATTCTCTGCATTTTAATGTCCAGGAAGCAAGAGAGCCTCTTCCATTGCCAACTAGAGCCCCTGGATACAATGGGAAAGCAGAGAGGGAGGAGGGCTGTCTCTTGGCATAAGAGAGCCACTCTTCTCACTCTCCCAAACCCAGTGTGTGTGGGGGGATGGGTAAGCAAGCTATCCCCAGAGAGGCATCCTTTCCCACCAACGCTGCATTAACCCACAGGCTTTGAGCCATCACATCTTAGAGCAGCGGTTCTCAACCTTTGGGTCGCGACCCCTTTGGGGGTCGAATGACCCTTTCACAGGGGTCACCTAAGACCATTGGAAAACACATATATAATTACATATTGTTTTTGTGATTAATCACTATGCTTTAATTATGTTCAATTTGTAACTATGAAAATACATCCTGCATATCAGATATTTACATTACGATTCATAACAGCAAAATTACAGTTATGAAATAGCAATGAAAATAATTTTATGGTTGGGGGTCACCACAACATGAGGAACTGTGTTAAAGGGTCGCGGCATTAGGAAGGTTGAGAACCACTGTCTTAGAGGGAAGGTCAGTCCCACCAGAGCCTTACATTTTAGCACTAAGCTGACTACAAGTGCTAGCCAGCCCTGTCTGCTGTGATGTAGTAACAGTATCTTTTGTACGTTGTGGACAAAAGAAAGGGCTACGTAATAAACCTGACAAGCTCAAGGGAGGCCTGCGTGGTGGCCTTACAGACTCAGATACCTAAAGTAACCACATAGGATGGTCTGAACATAAAAATTCCTAACTAAAACCAGTTTAGGGGGGGGGGAGTCACATTCTACGCCTGTATATCTTCTTTGACATAGTTCAATCTTTACCCTAAGTGAGCCTGTATATTGTCTTTTTGCATCTAAGATAACATACCCTTGGAATGTCAGAGTAATCTCATCCAGATCCCTCAGGGCACACCGGAGCAGGGACTATGAACCCTTCTTGTTGCCTACATACCATCTCTATGTGTTGTAAATGCTAACTATCCTGTACCCACCAATGTAAAAGATGTCTGAGTCTCTCCATTTCACTGTTTATCCAATTCAGAGATTTTCCTTCTTTTCTTTCTCCTGACCCCTTAATCTACCATCAATGGATTTCATGTAACCCTCCTTAAGTCTCCTCCTTTGATTCTAGTGTATAAACGAGGCTGTAAAACTGCCATTCTCAGAGCGTTTTCTCAATCCCTTGAGATTTTGCTTCCCAGAAATTGTCCGTTTGGCTCAAATAAACTTATAAAAATTATCTACAGGTTTGAACATTTCTTACATCGACAATGTGTTCATCTTTCACAATCCAGTGACCCTAACTCCCTATACTCCTCAAATGATTCTTAGAAGGAGACTTTAGATGCCTTGGAGATAAAGCAGCTGGAATGATGAGAGTCTCGGCCATCCTGAATGAGCATATACTGTCTGGGGTGATGGATGGGAAGGTTAGGAGCCACAAAGCCCATGGGGACCCCTGACCTAGAAGCAGGGTGATCTGCTGTCCAGATATTAGGAAGTAGCTTGCAATTCTCTCTTCTTGATGCACTTTGCAAAAGTGGAAGTAGACTCCCAAGTGGGAAAGAAGGCTGATGAACGAAGGCTGTCCTCCCATGAAGCTTGAGACCAAATGCTGGACTCCCTCACACACACCCCTTCCCAGGGGGGTGGCTGGGCCCCTTCTCTGGCAAGTTGCAAAGTTGTGTAGTCACCTCCCCCCAGCTTCCCTCCCGCCTGCCAGTGCCCTAAGCTCTCGCCTCCCAGAGGCAGGACAAAGCCCTGGCAGTGACTGAGGGGAGCAGGAGGAGGGACAGAGGAACCGGGAAGGCTGTACAAAAGAATTCCTCACCCCAAAGCCCCCTGACCGGCAGCAGCGAGTAAAGAAGATCTGCTCTCCCTCCCCCTCCCCCCCTCCCATCTTCCCACCCAGACGGCACAAGCCAGAGAGCAGCTGCAGGACTTCAGAGAGGACCCACACAGCCTCCTGTAGGTGGCAACAGTGCCACCTGTTTGACTGGTGGGGCAGAGCGGTGGACTGAAAGAGAGAGGAGGCAGACAACTAGAAGAGGATCTGGGAAGCGGTGCAGTGCAGAGCCGAGAGCAGAGCTGCCGCTGAGAAAAGGTGTGAGGGCTGGGAAGGCTGGGGGGCTACAGGCAGCGGGGTGGAGGCTGGCTCCAACCTGCAGGGATTGGACAGCACCCCTGCTCAGCTTCCTTGAGGGTTTTTCAAGCTGCTCAGACCTGACCCCATTCTCTAGACAGCTCTTGGAGGGAGGTGGGGCTCTGGCAGGCAGTGCCTGGGGTACTGGGGGCAGGATCTGAGAGGAGGCAGGAGGTGCCGATGGAGCCCAGGGCAGGCTACCACAACCCAGTCTCAGGGTGGGAAGAGGCAGAGCCTCCCTTTGGGATGACTTTTTCCTGGGAGGGAGCTCAGGAAGCAGAGAGGTTTCCTTCCCCCAGCCTCAGGCCCCCGCCCCTCCACAGCCTACCCTAACCTCCTTTCCCAAGGCAAGCATAGTGTAAGGAGGGCTGTTTCAGGAGTACCTACACCCTCCCTCCTTTCAGGGGCCCAGCCACTGTGCACCTCTCTAAGACTCCACGGCCTCAGGAGAGCTCAAATGACAGGGGGTTGTGTCCCACAGACCACACATACTTTGGGTGTATTTAGGAGCTCTTTACACACCCAAAGTCATCAACAAACCCATTTGTACTGCCAGCCACGAGTACACACGCACAGACAAGTGCTGACACAAATCGCACCCCTTCTTAGGAGAATCACCATCACACACCCAGCCTAGTTTGGGATCAATTAAGCCAACTCAGTCTCAGCCTGACCCAAAAGCACAAGGTACAGGGATCACCTGCCCCAGGACAACCACACCCCCCATACCTTTGGCCTGTATTTGTTGCACTTTCAACTAAGGGACCTCAGAGGGTGGGGCTCTGAAAAGAGGGAGGTGGAGACTGGGTTACTGATTGAGGTGGGGTGGGGGGATGACTGGGCAGGAAGTGATCGGACTGGGGCAAGAGGGCTTGGATTTTCTAGGTGTGCGGACAGGAAAAGAGCCCCTTAAGTCTGGGAGTGACCCAGACTGCCTGTTCCTCTGGCTTCCTCTTATTGGCTGTGCTCCCTGCCCCCTGGAGGGTGGAGACAGAATCTTTCAGTCAGGGCTTTGTGATGTGTGTAATCTGTATCCATAGTAACTGGCCCACTAGCTAGGCCTCCCTTTAGCCCCAGGTCAGAACTGGAACTTCAGCCTCATGTTACTCCTAATTCCTGGGCTGCCTGAAGTTTGGTTAAATCTGCCTCAACTTGTTAAATTGAGTTTGCCCCACCCCAGGCAGTTTCTCCTGTTAAATGGGCGTGCTATTAGGTAGGAGAGATTGCGAGTTCATCCTGCAGGCCAACAAGCTGGATTTCCTACGTGTCCCAGACTGACCAGGTATCCAGATTAAAGAGAAAGACCCTGGAGATTGTCGTCCTTTGCTCACCTCCTCATCCACTCTGGCACGCAGGACCTGCTCCATGACCTCCATTGCTGGGCAGCAGCCCAAGCCTTTGCTTCTCCATCAGGCTCCTCAGATACACTGGGAGGAAGGCTGGGATCTGCCTTCACCGGGGTCCCTGATGGCAGAGTATCTCTTCCCCCAGGCCCTCACCATGGCCAAGTCCCCCAACTGCTGCTCTGCCTGGGCCCGCAGCGTCCACTGCCTGTATAGCTGCCACTGGAGGAAGTGTCCCAAGGACAGGATGAAAACCAGCCAGGTGGAGTAGGGATGGGGGCACCTGAAATCCAAGGCAGAGGCCTCGTGAAGGGGAGGAGGCGGCTAAGGAGGCCACTGCGCTCAGAAGCAGCTGGGGGTGGAGGGAAGGGGCTTTCTCTCCCCAGGAAGAAAATCTCTCTCAAATATGGAAAGAGCTGCTGGCAGAGCAGAGCATCCCAACGCCTGGCAGGAAGTCCCTTTAAGCTGCCATCCGTTGGGGACTTTGAGCTGAAAGTGGGAATCGGCTGTGAGCTTCTCTCCTGCTCCTTTACAGTGTGAATATATGTGGTTTGGCCTGCTCTTCTTCACTGTCCTCCTCTCCTTGGGCTGGCTGTACATCGGGCTCATCCTTCTCAATGACCTGCACAACTTCAATGAGTGTGTCATGGACCCCCTGCCTCAGCAAACATGTCAACCTATTCCCCACCCTGGGCCCCTGGGTGCTCAGTCATCCCCAGCCATGCCCATCTCTCCTGCTGCCCAACATCCTTAGAAGACCCCTCCACAAAGGCTCCCCAGTCCTTGGAGTCCCTGGCCCTGTGAAAGCCTGCCCCTCACTACCTTGTAGTCCTCCTTCTTGGTCCACCCACCCCAACTCCCCTCAGGCCCCTGCTGACACCCCTTCCTGCACTCGGATACCTCCCTCTCCCCTCCCACAGATTCCTGTTCCGCCAGTGGGGACACTGGATGGACTGGTCCCTGGCATTTACGCTTTTTGTCTCTCTACTGGTCACATATGCGTCCCTGCTATTGGTGGGTATAGGGGGACACTGGTCTAGCCCCCACCTTGGCCCTTCCTTCTGGTTCAGCTCTACCCGTCCCACTGTGGGGAGGGGAAGAGGGAGGTGTCAGCCTGGGAAGCCCACCTCAGTGGCCCACCTCTTTTGGCACCTCATTACTTCCAACACCCTCTACCCCCAGCTCCTGGCTGTGCTCCTGTGGTTCTGTGGCCAGCCTCTACATCTGCACAGTGTCCACAAGGTAAAGTGGGAATGGGAGTGAGCAGGAAAGGGGGCCCCTGAGCCCAGCATTTGGTTGGCTATTTGTCAAAAACCTCACTATTCTAAACCCGGGCTCAAACTCAAGACCTGAAGCCCAGTAGATGTTTGTTAACTGAAAGAAGGAAAGTAAAGGAGTCAGGGGAGGAGAATGGTTCTGTTTTCATAGAATGAGGAGCAGCCCAAGTAGCCTATTCATCCCGGGTCCCCCAGGTGCTGCTGCTCCTCATTGTACTTCTTGTGCTCGCTGGACTCGTGGTCCTGGATGTCCAATGGCAGGAGGAGTGGCTTAGCCTACGTCTGTCACTGTGGGTGAGTGGCTGATCTCCAGTCCCTGGTTGGGAGACTGGGCCTGTGGCCAACCCCAGGACCTATCTTGCTCCCTGGTCCCCCAAAACTGCAAATAGGTCTGAATTCTAAAAGGTCCTCAGAGAAGAAAGGGAAGACAGAGTCCTCCTCACTAACTCTCTTCCATAGGCCACAGCCCCGTTCCTTCACATTGGAGCTGTTGCTTTCATCACCATCCTGGCCTGGCCTGTGGCTGATAACTTCTACAATATCCACAAAAGAGGTGCCAACTCCACTCCCACACACACCCTCGCTGGCCATCCATTCTTCAGCCTCCTGCTGCCTGATTCCCTGCACCTGTACTCTGCTTTCTGCCACCAGAGCTCGCCCCCTGCCCCTTCTCCACAGCTGGTCCCCCACTCCTCACAGGCCACAAGATTGTGCTACTGTTCGTGTATTTTACAATTGTCCTGGCCATCTACCTGGCCCCCCTATGCATCTCCTCAACCTGTATCATGGAACCCAGAGACTTATCCCCCAAGCCTAGGCTGGTTGGACACCGAGGGGCCCCCATGGTGAGTGTGGGCAGAATGCTGGCAAGGCGGGGAGGGTCTTCAGTGGCTAGGCCTGTAGGTTACCAGGCTCCTACCCTTCCCTGTGACCGCCTCACCAATTCCCTCTTCCAGCTGGCCCCCGAGAATACCCTGATGTCCCTGCGGAAGACAGCAGAATGTGGAGCTAATGTGTTTGAGACCGATGTGATGATCAGGTGAGGGAAAATGGGGGCTGACAGACACAGCAGGGGAACTCCGAAAATGAGAGCAGCCCCAGAGCTTGGTCCTCTGACATCCTTCATGCCTTCAGCTCCGATGGGATCCCTTTCCTCATGCATGATGAGCACCTGAGCAGAACCACAGATGTGGCCTCTGTGTTCCCAACTCGAATCACCGCCCACAGCAGCGACTTCTCCTGGGCTGAACTGAAGAGACTCAATGCTGGAGCCTGGTTCCTAGAGGTGAGGACAGCGTCCTGGAAGGGATAGCCACCTGTAGGGGCCCTCAGGGCAGAGTTCATTCATTGATAAGCGCATGCTGAGTGCTGTGCTGAGCAATAGGTATACAGTCTGCCCTCAGGTCATAACCTCCTAGTATAAATGAGAGCTTTGGCAATAGGCTATCAGAATATGAAACCTACAGCGATAACAGTATCGATAATTACTGAGTAGAGAGGTCACTGTTTGGCAGGGTGCGTGTGGGAGAGGGTCAAGCGTAGTTTCACAGAAGAGGACACCTGAGCAGTTTTTAAGATGGACAAGGCAGGAAATGGGAATTCTAGTCAGAGGCAAGAGCATGGGTAAAGCCCAGAAGTATGAAGAAGTGTTTTCAGGGAACAGAAAGTGGCTTGGTGGCACCAGGAGATAAGAGCAGTGGGAGGGGAGACTGGTGAGGGGAGCAAAGGCTTGGTCTTAGAAAGCTTCAAATGCCAGGCCCAGGTGTGTGGACTCAATCCTGCAGGTGATGGAATACATTGCAAAGGATACTTAGTTTTTTCAGCTCCTCTTTTCCTGATTATGAAAGTAGTACATGTTCCTTGTAAAAGAAGTAAAACATCAGCCCTGACCGGTTTGGCTCAGTGGATAGAACGTTGGCCTGCGGACTGAAAGGTCCCAGGTTCGATTCCAGTCAAGAGCATGTGCCTTGGGTGCGGGCACATCCCCAGTAGGAGGTGTGCAGGAGGTGGCTGATTGATGTTTCTCTCTCATCAATGTTTCTAACTCTCTATTCCTCTCCCTTCCTCTCTGTAAAAAATCAATAAAATATATTTTTTAAAAAAGTAAAACATCAGAGAAATAACTTAAAAATTAAAAACTCTCTCATAATCCAATCCCCCTGAGATAGTCACTGTTAACAGTTGGGTACATATTCTATATATACATATGTGTACATACAGATATATGCACACACACATATATATTTTTCATTTTGCACCAATAGGACCACTTCACATATTCTTTTGCACCTTTCTTTTTTTTACCCATTTAACTCTCTATATATTTACATATCAGAGTGTTAAGAACAAGGGATATCTGGTTTGAATCCTGGTTTCACCACTTCCTAGCCTTGTGAGCCTGAGCAACATTCCTCAGTCTCTCTGTGCTTCATTTTTCTCATCTGTGAAATGGGAATAATAAGCATACCTTGCAGGATTATTGGAAGGATTAAATAAATTAATACACATAAAATACTTCCTGGGAATGCAGGAAGTACTTTTTTATTTTGTATTCATTTATTTGCTCATGTAAATATGGGCATATCTGTTCTTATTTTACACAATGAGTAATATTATGACTATGCTCCAATTTCCTGCTGGTGACAAATTCACCCAATAATCACTTATCTGGAAAAGTCTTTTTTTTTTGGCACCATTATTTTTTTATTAGGACTTTATTTGAAAATGTGAAAGTATGTATTAAGAGAGCATGTGTATTATCACTTTTTTATTGAGCTTATTGGGTGACATTGGTTACTAAAATTATAGAGGTTTCAGGTGCACAATTCTATAATACATCATCTGTATATTGTATTGTGTGTTCATCATCCTAAGTCAAGTTTCCTTCCATCACCATTTATCCTCCCTATGCCGTCTTCTACCTTCCCCCACCCCCTTTTTCTCTGATAATCATCATATTGTTGTCTGTGTCTATGAGTTTTTGCTGTTGTTTTTTAAAAATATTTTTTATTGATTTTTGGAAAGAGAGGAAGGGAGGGAGAGAGATAGAAACATCAATGATGAGAGAGAATCATCATCAATCAGCTGCCTCCTATGCCCTGACTAGGAATCGAACTGATGACCTCTTGGTTCATGGGTCGACACTCAACCACTGAGCAACACTGGCCAGGAGTTTTATGGTTGTTTTTTGTTTGTTTGTTTGTTTTTTGCTTAATGCTTTCACCTTTTCCCCCCAGCCCTGCAACCTCCATCCACTCTGACAGCTGTCAGTCTGTTCTCTGAATCTGTCATCACTTTGTTGGTTTATTTTGTTCATTAGACTCCACATATAAGTGAAATCATATGGTACTTGTTTTTCTCTGACTGGCTTATTTCACTTAGCATAATGCTCTCTAGGTCCATCCATGTTGTTGCAAAAGTAAGATTTCTTTATTTTTATTTTTTTTACGGCTGAGCAGTTTTCCATTGTGTAAATGTACAACTGCTTTTTTGTCTACTCAGCTACTAATGGGCTCTTGGCTATTATAAATAATGCTGAAATGAACATAGGAGTGCATATATTCTTTAGAAGTAGTGTTTAGGGTTTCTTCAGGTATATTCCTGGAAGTGGAATTGCTGGGTCATAAGGCAATTCCATTTTTAATGTTTTGAGGAAACTCCATACTGCTTTCTACAGTAGCTGCACCAGTCTGCATTCCCACCAGCAGTGCACTAGGGTTCCCTTTCCTCCCCATCTCTGCAAGCACTTGTTTGTTGATTTATTGATGGTAGGAATTGTGAGGTGATATCTCATTGTGGTTTTAATTTGCATCTGACTGATGATTAGGGACCTTTTTTTTTTTTATGTCTATTGGCCATCTGTATGTCCTCTTTGGAGAAGTGTCTATTCAGGTCCTTTGCCCATTTTTAATTGTATTGTTTGTCTTCCTGGTCTTGAGTTGTGTAAGTTCTTTATATATTTTGGAAATTAGCCCCTTATCAGATGTATCATTGGCAAATATGTTCTCTCATTCGGTGGGCTGTTCATTCATTTTGTTAATGGTTTCCTTTGCTGTGGGAAACCTTTTTAGTTCGATGTAGTCCTATTTATTTATTTTTCTTTTGTTTCCTTTGTCAGAGGTGATATATTAGAAAAAATATTGCTAAGAGCAATGTCCAGGATTTTACTGCTATGTTTTCTTCTAGGAGTTTTATGTTTTCACATCTAACATTTCAATCTTTAATCCATTTTCAGTTTATTCTTATGTGTAGTGTAAAATGGTGGTCTAGTTTTGGGTTTTTTTTTTTTGCACATATATGTCCAATTTTCCCAACACATTTATTGAGTAGACTATCTTTATCTCATTGTATGTTTTTGTCTCCTTTGTCAAATAATAATTGACCATAAAAGCGTGGGTTTGTTTCTGGGCTCCCTATTCAGTTCCATTGATCTATATGCCTGTTTTTATGCCACCATCATGCTGTTTTGATTACTGTGACCGTGTAGTATAGTTTGATATCAGGTAGTGTGATACTTCCAACTTTTGTTTTTCTTTCTCAAGATTGCTGTGGCTATTCGGGGTCTTTTGTGGTTCCATATAAATTTTTGGAATATTTGTTCTAGTTCTGTGAAATAAGCCATTGGAATCTTTTTTAAAGTATATTTTTATTGATTTCAGAGATGAAGAGAGAGAGAGAGAGAGAACACATCAATGATGAGAAAGAATCATTGATCGGCTGTCTCCTGCACACCCCACACTGGGGATCAAACCCACAATCTGGGCATGTGCCCTGACCAGGAATTGAACCATGACCTCCTGGGTCATAGGTCAACACTCAACCACTGAGCTATGTCGGCCAGGCGCATTGGAACCTTGATAGGAATGGTATTGATTCTATAGATTGCTTTGGGTAGTATGGACATTTTAATGATGTTAATTCTTCCTATCCATGAGCATGAAATATGCTTCCACTTGTTTGTATCTTCTTCAGTTCTTTCTTCAGTGTGTTATAATTTTCCAAGTACAGGTTTTTTATATCCTTGGTTAAATCTATTCCTAGGTATTTTATTTTGGATGCAATTGTAAATGGGTTTTTTTTTTTTTTAGTTTCCCTTTTGTTGTTGTTGTTAATCCACACCTGAAGATAATTTTTCCATTGCTTCTTTTAGAGAGTAGAAGGGAGGGAAGGAGGGAGAGGGAGAAAAGAGAGAAACATTGATGTGAGAGAGACACATTGATTGGTTGCTTCCTGCACACACCTGACCAGGACCAGGGATTAAACCTGCAACCTAGGTATGTGCCCTTGACTGGGAATTGAACCAGAGATCCTTCAGTGTGCAGGCTGATGCTCTAACCACTAAGCAAACCGGCCATGGCAAGTTTCCCCTTCTGATAGTTCATTGTTAGTGTATAAAAATGTAACCAATCTCTGAATATTTATTTTGTACCCTATTTTACTGAATTCATTTATCAGTTCTAGGAGATTTTTAGTGGAATATTTAGAGTTTTCTATATACAGTATCATGTCATCTGTAAAAAATGAGTTTTACGGCCTCCTTTCCAATTTGGATGCCTTTTATTTCTTCTTCTTGTTTGATCTCTGTGGCTAGGATTTCCAGTACTATGTTGAACAGGAGTGGTGAAAGTGGACATCCCTGTCTTGATCCTGTTCTTAGGGCAAATGGTTTTAGTTTTTCCCCATTAAGTATGATGTTGGCAGTAGGTTGTCATTTATTATGTTGAGGTATGTTACCTCTATTTCCACTTTGAGAAAAGTTTTTATCTCAAATGGGTGCTGGGTTTTATCAAATGCTTTTTCTGAGTCTATTGATATGATAATGTGCTTTTTATCCTTTATTTTGTTTATGTGGCATTTCATGTTCATTGATTTGTGAATATGGTACCAAACTTGCATCCCTGGGATAAATCCCACTTGATCATGGTGTATGATCTTTTTAATGTATTGCTGGATCCGGTTGCTAATATTTTGTTGAGGATTTCAGCATCTATGTTTATCAGGGATATTGGCCTATAATTTTCTTTCTTTGTAGTGTCTTTATCTGGTTTGGGGGATAATGCTGGTTTCATAAAATGAGCTTGGCTCCACCATTATTTTTTATTCCTTTTTTTAAATCCTCATATTAAAAAATTTCTATATGTGACACGGCACCAGAGTTAAGTTAAGGTTTTTCAAAATGCTGACACACCGAGCTCAAAAGGTTCACCATCACTGCCTTAGGATGTCTTTTAAAAATTGATTTTAGAGAGAGAGGAAGGGAGAGAGAAAAAGAGAAACATTGATGTGATGTAAGAGAGAAACATAAATAGACTGCTTCCCATATGTGCCCTGACTGGGGATCAAACCTATAACCTAGGTATGTGTTCTGACCAGGAATCAAACTGCAACCATTTTGGTACACCACAATTTTTTGGTACACTAGATGATGCTCCAGCCAACCAAGCCACCCGGCCATGGCTGACATTATTTTTGAAGGATATTTTCACTGGATATAAAATTCATCAACGAGATTTTTTTCCCCATAACTTTAAAGATTTCATACTTGACATCTTTATTATATTCAAGAAATCAACCATAATTTTTACCTTTTTTGCCATATTCTTTTTGCTTTTGTGGAAAAGTAGATAAAAGTAGATATATGACATTCCAGAGTGCTTCTTGTCTACCTAATCTTGCAACATTCAAAGAGGAATTTTTCACCTGCCTCCTAGACAAGGTCTGTTGCATAAAGTACTTCTAACACTACCTGGCACATAGTAAATACTTAATAAGTGCTAAGTAACTTGCTTTTACCAGATCAGTGATTAGGAGGTAATTTGTTGATTACAAAGGGAGGAGAAGAGTGACCCAGGTTTGGAATAGCCTCTAGGAGAAATGGGAGAGAGAGAGTATATCAAGGACAAGAAAACAGATGGCTAAGTGGTACCAAAGAGAAATACAGGACTGCAGTGCCAAAAGTCCACATAGTGTGCTCTGCCTCCTGGGGCAATTGTAGAATTGAATCAAAATTTGGGACCTGTAGAACAGGTAGGTTAAGAAAGCTGTTGATGGTGCTATGGAAGAGTTCAAATTGTGGAGGGACCATGGGAAGGGGATGTAGATACAGCCAGAAAGCTGCTGATATTGGGGTAAAACCAAGGGGTCACAATCCCAGAGATCTTCATGAAACCAAAGAGAAATTGTAGTGGGAGAGAGGAAATTAGGAAACTGGGAAGATAGGAGGGTGGGTTAACAGATTAAGGCATTAGAAGGTCTGGAAAAGGCCATAGTTTGAGAAAAGAAAGACCCTGAAAACGGTGTGGGCAGAAGCTGGACCCCAAGTCAGGGAATGAGTGAGATGATGAGGATGCGGGAATGACCCAGAGGCTTCTTCTGGTCTTGAAATAATTTTTCTCTTCTTATAGAGGCCACCCTTCTGGGAGGCCACACAGCTATCAGGCCTTGATCGGAAAGAGGCTGAGAATCAGACAGTACCAACATTGGAAGAGTTATTGAAGGAAGCTGCAGTCCTCAACCTTTCCATTATGTTTGATTTGCGCCGCCCACCACGAAACCACACATACTATGACACTTATGTGAACCTGACATTGGAGACTGTGCTGAATTCAAGGGTTCCTCAAGCCATGGTGATATTGCCAGGATCCCAAGTGCCCCTCACCACCCCCCACACTGCCTTCCCTAGGCCATGGTGACAATCTTGAGCTGTCCCTGCCCCAGGGCCCCACCTAGCTCATTTACCCCACTCTGTGGTCAAACCTCTCTGCTCTACCCCTGCCCCTGGGATCCCCAGGCCTTCCCCAGCTTCACACCCATCCTCCTTGAACCACAGGTCCTTTGGCTCCCAGATGAAGATAGGGCTAATGTCCAAAAACGGGCACCCAGAATGCACCAGATATATGGACAGTTGGGAGTCAACAGAACTGAGAGGCCCCTGTTTCTCAACCTCCCCTATCAAGACCTACCACAGTTGGATATAAAGTAAGTGCCAGAGGAAAGGAGCTGAGGGGATCACATGCAGCTTAAAGGTGGGGAAGAGCCAATGTGAGGAGGGCAAAGACCACTCATTCATTCACTCATACAACAAATATTTATCAAATGCTTACTATATGTCAGGCACTATTTATTGCAGTCTTTGGGCATACAACTGAAAGAGAAAAACAATAACCATTGAACAAAATATATGCATATTGGACACTGATAAATGATATGAAGGTGATAAAATGGGGAGATGCAATAGAGCAATTGGAGTTGGGAAGGAGGGGTTAGTGAGGGGCCACATTAGGAAGAATGGTTAAAGAAGTGGTGCCTAGGCTGAGACCTGATGCATCACAGGAGTGAACAATGAGGAGAGCTGCAGAAGAGCAGGAACAGCAGCCTAACGAGCAAGGTGGAGGTGAGGCTGGCGAGGTGGGCAGGGAACAAATTGGATCAGACCTTGTAGGCCAAGAGAAGGGTTTTAGCTTTCATTCTACACCAAAGAGATAAGTGCTAGAGAGGATGGATGCAAAGGAGAGAGGTGATAGAGTCACCAATGTGAGCTAGGCCCCTGAAGCTGACCCATCCAGTAAACATGATCAACCTCAAAACATTCAGCCGCCAAGATCTTTTCTAATGTTCTTCTGGTTAGATAGAACAAAAAATGTGTGCTGAATGATAGATAGACCAGTTATAATAAAAATTTAAAAGACCTTTCCTCAAGTTGTCACCATGGAGGGAGACAACATTGGGGTGGCCCTCACCTTAGTCTTGTCCTGGTCAGCATTGACTGCCGATCACATTTCCAAAACATGTGACTTGGTAATGAATACATCAATGATGAAATCAAGGCCCTGAAAGGTCTAAGCACTCTGAGATGATAGGCCAAAGGTACCAAGATGAAACGCAACAGGGATAGATGTAAAAACCCATATTTGGGGCCCAAAAGAAGCTCAGTTGCTCAAAGACAAGAGAGGAGACACTGGCATCAGCAGAAATGTGTGCAAAAGACCAGGGCTTAGATTGAACACTGTGCATAATGAGTCATCGGTGCACGTCATATTGCTGAAACTAACCTGACCGTGGGCTGCCTTCATACAGGCATAGTGCCGAGAAGGCAAGAAGAGTTTTGTTCTACTCAAAGCTTGTGCAAGCCACCTGGATATCATTTGCAGATGCATACTTTGAAAGGAACATTGATAAACTGGAGTAAGGTCAGGTTAAATGGGTTTGTATAGTGAAGGAGATAAGCCAGACTCCAAGCCCCAGCTAGAAGGACAGTGACTATTGAGCCTACAAAAGAGAAGACTCAGGGGGGACATGGTCAATGTTCCTCAGACCATTGAAGGGCTGTCATGGGACAAAGAGGAGAGGCACATTTGTGTGACCCCAGACAGCAAAATTAGGAATTTACCAAAAGGCAGAGTTCAGCTATGCAAAGAAAATCACTTTTGGTCAGGGGCTGCCAAGCACAGGTTGAACTGATAGCTCTTTTGCAGTGACACTGTAGATTCAAGCCAGACAGGAGCTGCCTCCATGCCTTGTGCCCCATGGTTCTGGATGTCACCTGTGTCTTTTTTGCCTCCATAGGGCACTGCATGAGGATAATGTCTCGGTGAACCTATTTGTTGTGAACAAGCCCTGGCTTTTCTCCATACTCTGGTGTGCAGGGGTGGATTCGGTCACCACCAATGACTGCCAGCTGCTACAGCAGATGCGTTACCCCGTCTGGCTTATGGTGAGGGCTCTACTACTGTCAACCACCTCCTATTTCATCTTTCCTGATTCTCCTTAACCCTGCCCCTCTCTTCCTTCCTCCCCCATATACTACCTTTGGGGCTCTGGCCACCAACAGGGGCCCTTTTTTTTTTACTCCCATAGCCCCCTAAAACCTACCTAATGATATGGCTCCTCACTGATTGTGTCTCCACCCTGCTGATTTTGTGGCTGTTCCTCCTCCGTGGGTGAGTGTTTTGTGCCTTAGCTTTCTGGATCTTTATTCTCCCCAGGGTCCTGGTGATGGGACTGATTCAGACTCATACTGCCTGGAGTTTGGGGTTGGGTCTGTTTGGTTCCTTTGAGATTCTTAGACCCTTCCTTGGACACCAAATTGGTTTGAACCTGGGAAATGCAGTTTGGGGGAACCCAGGTTCAAAAGGTCATGCTTGAAGGTGGCTGAACTCACCATGGGAAGCTTTTTTCCCTGTAGGAGATGTGCCAAGAAGAGAGAGATGACTGGTAAGAACTTTCTCGCATTACCTCATTTCTCTTTCCACTAGCATTCCCATTACTCATTCTTGCCATGTCCTCCTCACCTCTCCAGGCTTAGAAACAGCTGTGCTGCTGACCAGGATCAACAATTTCATAATGGAGTGAATGCCCTGCCCGAGGCCCCCACCAGCCAGAGTCTGAGGCCTGTCTACATCTGTCAACAGCAAGGAAGGGAGCATGGCTACAGTAGAATGGTGGAGTGAACTTTGAATTATGAGGGAAATGGTGGATATGCCCCAAGCTTCTATGGAATCTTCTCCCCTTTGGGTTTTGACCTGAGGTGGTGGTGGAAGACAGTAAATCATGAGAAATGTCTCCCAAAATAAAACGTTCTAGAACAGGGGAGATTGCCAAGAAAATGTTTCAGACTTGTGTGCACATGTTCTTGTGTAGAAAGCACAGGGTGTGTCAGGGATGGAACAGCTTGGAACAGTGACTGAAGGAGAGATGAAAACGGCCTTCCTGGAGAACCCACCCCACTCCATTCACTGTGTCGCCCCAACCACTGCAATTTAGCTGCTTTCCTGCATAGAGGCTGGGAGCTAAAGAGCCCATCTAGCCACGTAGTTCTATGCCTACAGGTGGCTTTTTACTGCGTACAGCCTTTTTCTTCAAGACACGTTGGTTCGTGTTTCTTGTCTATTAATCCTTTTCTGAATGAATTTAATTTCCATTTGTCCACAGTCTCATCTTTTCAGCACTGGTGCTAGGGGGAGGATGCACCCTCCATCTACGGTTGTATGTGATGTGACAATGAAGGGTCATCATGAGGAGATGTATGGGTTGGAGGGGGGAGGAGGACCACTTGAGGCAATGAAGCACTGCAAGAAGGGAATGAAGGAGCCACTGTCAAGGGAGGGGGTCAGGCGGCCCAAGGAGCATAGTATAGAGTTGCTTTGTAGCTCCACCTTGTGGTCACCTTCCCCAAGAGGAGGGCTGCGCATTGGTCATGTTTGCTGAATGACACCCGTTTCCCCTGCCAGCTGGGGACCTGTGTCCTTGACTCCGGACCCTGAGGGGCAAAGTCCTATTTCCACACGTTTTCGCTTATCTGGGCTGCACGCAGGGTCTGGGTCCCCGGCCTGCCTTTCCCTCGAAGAGCAAGTTTCCAGTGTGTTTTCTGCTCGTGAGTTCTCAGGTGACTAGCGCGGAGCTGGCCTAGGATAAGTCGTCTGATAGAAGGGGGTGGGACTAAGGCAAAAAGGTCAACAGGAGGGGGCTCTATGGCTGACTCTTTGGTCCCCCACTGCACCAACATTCGCCCCAATTTACATCTCCACACGAAGCCAAATCGAATTGAGGCTTTGGCAAGGGAGGTTCGGTTCTCCATTTCTCCCCTCTCCCCAGACTGGAACCTGGGAGCGCACTAGAACCTCGAGACAAGCCCCTACTCCAGCGGTTCTCAACCTGTGGGGCGCGACCCCTTTGGCGGTGGAATGACCCTTTCACAGGGGTCGCCTAAGACCATTGGAAAACATATATATAATGACATATTGTTTTGTGACTAATCACTATGCTTTAATTATGTTCAATTTCTAACAATGACATTGGGGGTCACCACAACATGAGGAACTGTATTAAAGGGTCGGGGCATTAGGAAGGTTGAGAACCACCTACTCGGTGGCAAGCAAGCCCCTGGAACTACATTTCCCAGAATGCCCAGCCACTTCCGGCCTCTAGATTTAGATTAGGGTGAGTTTGGATTTGTGTTCCCACCCCCATTACTCCAGGACGTGGTCCTTTCCCCTCGTCCCTGCCCCTCCCTGCACACACATGCACTCACACAGGCAGCAGTCCGCGCCAACATACCTGGCCTGCAGCTGGCGCGGTGGGCGGGGCACGGCGTGCTGCGCGTTGGCAGCCAGAGGCGCCCCGGGAGCGCGCGCCACGGCTGTTGCAGGCCTGGTCCTTTCCGGGTCCACGCCTCCTGCTACCCAGCAGATCTTCACACAGTACCTTTCTGGGCTGCATATCCTTCCTTACTTTTGCCCGTTCCCGATCCCGCCCCTGAATCAGGCCGACTGCCCGCCTCAGCTCTGGGTCGCCACGCCTGTCAGGTACTGCAGGCTCTCATCTCTCAGCATGTACCTTCGCTCCCCATCCCTACTTTTCTTTCCCAGCCTCACAGCCCGGCAGCTTCTTCCTCCCCTCCCCTTCCTACCTAGCCCTGACAACCTCCAGGGTCTCCAGTCCCCTCCTGCTAAACCACCAGCTCCCAGACTCTCAGCTTCCAGACCCCCAACAGAATGCAGAACCCAGCCCCAGCCCCTAACCTCTTGCCCCTAGCCCCAAGCCTTGGGTACTCAGCTCTGACAGCACACTTAAGCTCTGTGAGGCCCCGAGCTGGAGACTAAAACTGACAAAACCTTGAGGGCGGAGGGCCAGGGGGAGCTGCTCATTGGAGTTCGGGTACAGTTGCTCTCCGTTATTTTTAACTGCTGACTCACAGCTTCTGGCATCCGGGTTTGGGGCAACCAGAATGGGTTAGGGGGGCTATTAATAGAGCTGAGGCACAGTCCCGACCCAGTTCAGTATGGAAGCATATAGAGCAAGGAGCCTCCCCTTGTCATCATGCCCTGTGGAGGTGTGGTTGATTGGGGCAGTAGCTGGACCCTCTCTGGCTGCCAGTATCTTAGCATGGTGTCTATACCTTGCAACTCTTGAGTAAAAGCCCACCATGAGACTCCTGGGCACAGCTCTCCACTAAATTTGCAGTGCTTTGGGGCTCCACCACAATGACGCCCCTGTTTTACCAACTGAGAGTGAAGAAACGAGTCCCAAGTGGAGAGGTTTTTGTGGCCCCAGCCTTGGACTGCCTAGACCAGTGATGGCGGACCTTTTGAGCTGGGCGTGTCAGCATTTTGAAAAACCCTAACTTAACTCTGGTGCCGTGTCACATATAGAATTTTTTTGATATTTGCAACCATAGTAAAACAAAGACTTACATTTTTGATATTTATTTTATATATTTAAGTGCCATTTAACAAAGAAAAATCAACCAAAAAAATGAGTTCATGTGTCACCTCTGACACGCGTGTCATAGGTTTGCCATCACTGGCCTAGACCTACACCTGGGCCAAAATGCTAGGTTACTAGGAGAAAAAGCTCTGGTCCTCAAAAGCTCTCATGAGGACAGGATGTGCCGCATGGTGGTAGCAGAGAGGGAGGGCACATAGCCAGGAATTTGCTAGCCCCAAACCAGACACAGCACTGGGAAGCTGCCTAATTCTTTGTTTACCACCCTTCCATTCTTTTTATTTTTCCCCTCTTATTGGGCTCTGTACCAACTCACAGGGGTCAACAGACCTCAGAATCTCTCTCTACTCCATAGAGGAAACTAGTTCAGGAAAGCTCATGAGAAACTTGTCTCCACCAAGGTAAGAATGATCCTTTGTATACTGCCATTCCTATGAGGCCTTTTAATTTTAATGAGCTAAAGTAGGAGCTCCCTAATTTATACATAGGGAATGATGGGGAAATCTTGATATCTTCCTGGACTAATCACCCAAATTATTCACACCCATGCCCAATTTGCTAGAATTCCCATTGACCAAGGATGTGCACTCACAGCAGTGCCCCCTACTTGCAAACCAGAAACTTCTGCATTCAGCGACCCCAGACTCTGGTTCCCAGGGTGATTGTTTCTCCACATACAAAGACTGAGGTCGCCCAATGAAGCTCTACTTTTAAGAATGAGCCCAGATTATCAAACAGCAGCGGGTTGTGCTGCCCCAACTCCATCAATTTACTGAGGGTGACAGAGAGGTGAATGGGTTGAGAAATGGTCTCTCCTGAAATCCCTTCCCCAATCATCCATTGCCTTAGCCTGAGCAGCCTACCAATCATAGTGTCTGCCAGTGCTCTGCTCAGGGCTTCTTTGGACCAGTAGGGAACTCCTATCTTCCTGGTGCCTCAGGCTCTCTAGCAGTTGAGAGGGAGTTCCAATATCAAAGCATTTCAGGGTTGCCAACCCAGTCCAGTCTGAGTCTCAGAGAGCCTGTGGAGTGGGGAGAAGCTCACTATGAATCTCAAAAAGATGATTAACGAGATAAAAAGAGAGAGGAAAGGGTAGGAAGAGGAAGAACAGGTATGAGAGAGAGAGAGAGAGAGAGAAAGAGAGAGAGAGAGAGAGAGAGCGAACCAGTCAATGGAGATGGGGTTTGGGAAGGATAGTTTGACCCTCTCCACTCACTCCAGGCTTAGCAATGTTTATTGCTCAATCAGAGCAATTCAGAGGGCCCAGGCTATATGTAGTCTCCCCGGCCCCGGCCACTTTGTCTATATTGACAAACTGTTGAGCATATAAAATACTTTAATCTCCTGGGTTATCAGTCTAGCATGAAGAAAGATATTCACTCGTTTGTTCATTTAACAATAATAATTAACTCTAACCCACTGTATACCAGGTATTGTGTTGAGTGTTTTATATTTAGTCCTTACAAAAACCCTATGATTATTTCCATTTCATAGATAAAGAAACTGAAGTGCAGAGAAGTAAAATAACATCCAAGGTCACCCTAGCAGGTCTGGCTCAGGGGATAGAGTGTTGGCCTGGTGACCAAAGGGTCCCGAGTTCGATTCTGGTCAAGGGCATGTACCTTGGTTGCAGGCTCCTCCCTGGCTGTGGTCCTGGTCAGTCCTCATGCAGGAGGCAACCAATTGATGTGTTTCTCTCACATCGATGTTTCTCTCTATCTTTCCCTCTCTCTTCCACTCTCCCTAAAAAAATCAATGGAAAAATATCCTTGGATGAGGATTAATGAAAAATAAAAATAAAATAACATCTAAGTTCACACAACTAGTGACTAGGTTGGGTCTGACAGCTACCACTGTGTGCCAGGGTCTAAGAATGTAGAAAACAAGGCACTTCTCTCTTCAGGATCAAATAACAAATGTCATCTCCTTTGTAAAATGTTTCTTACATCCTCTCCTCACAGGTAGAGTTGATAACTTGCTTTTCTATACACTCCTCTGAGGTAGCACTTTTCACAGGTATTATAAAAATTGGCTTCCATATTTCTATTTCTCTAACGTTGAGCACCTCAGCAGCAGGACCTGTTTACTATTCATCTTCACTTGGAAGTCTAATAGGCATCTCAAAATCAGCATATCAAAATCTGAACACCTGATCTTTTCCCCCAAAATGACCCCTCATAAGCTGTCATCCTCTCAGTTGATGGCAATTTCATCTTCCAAGTTGCTCTGACCAAAAACCTTGGAGCCACACCTCATGTCCAATTCGTCAGCAAATCCTATTGACTCTCCCTTCAAAATACATCTGAAATCCAACCACTTCTCATCACCTCCAGTGCTGCCATAATGATCCAAATCACCATCACCTGTCATCTAGATCACTGCAGTAGTCTCCTGACTGGCCTTACTGTTTCCACCCTTGTCCACTGTGACCTATTATCCATACAGGAGCCAGAGATATCTTGGTAAACCCAAGTCACGTAATGTTAGTTCTCTGCACAAAACCCTTCAAAGGTTCACCATCCCCTTAAGAGTATAGCCTAAATCCTTACAATGGCCTACAAGATCTTGCCCCTACTAAATCTCTGATCTCAGCTCTTAGTACTCTCCTCCCTCACTCTGTTCCAGCTACTTGGACCTCCTTGCTGTTCCTTGAACAAGCCAGGTGCACTGCTTACCCAGGACCTTGGCATTGACTGTTCCC